CCCGGCTGGAGCAGCCTGTACTGCTCCGCCACCTGACAAACAGGGCCGGCAGACCCCGGTGTCTGCCGAACCTGGGACCACTGCAGGCGCAGTTAGGTCCAAAAGTTCAGTGAATGTGCCTGCCCAGCAGGCACCATCCACCACCTCACAAGAGGTGATGGATACAAGTCCCACTCCTCCGGCGCCTCAGACGCCGAAGGATAGGCGCAACTCCTTAGAGCGCGCCAAAAAAGAAAAACCTCGAATCACGGGGCCCTCAAAAGGCCCTGTAAGCTAACGCAACACCTCTGTACACACAGCACCACACTACATTAAAATGGCACAAATACTACAGTGGAACGTCAGAGGACTGTTGAGAAACCTCGACGATATCCATGAACTTTTACACAAACATACACCTAAGGTGCTGTGCGTACAAGAGACACACCTGAAACCTAAACACACCAACTATTTACGTCGTTACGTTATCTTTCGGAAAGACCGGAATGATGCCATAGTGCCATCCGGTGGTGTTGCCATTATAGTCAATCAAGGGATTGCATGCACACACCTACCACTACAAACATCCCTTGAGGCGGTGGCTGTTCGAGCAGTTCTTTTAAATAAGCTCGTCACCATCTGCTCTCTCTACATACCTCCGCAACACCGTCTTGAAAAGCATGAATTCGAGTCCCTCATAGAGGAACTTCCAGAACCTTATATTCTCCTGGGAGATTTCAATGCACATAGCAATCTATGGGGTGACTCTCGCTGCGATGCTCGAGGTCGCCTGATTGAACAGGTCCTGTTTTCTTCCGGTGCGTGCCTGCTGAATCGGAAAGAGCCAACATATTACAACATCGCTAACAATACGTACTCAGCAATAGACCTCAGCATAATATCCCCATCACTCCTGCCTCTACTTAAATGGGAAGTCATTGATAATCCATATGGTAGTGACCATTTTCCTATCGTTATTAGCACATCAATAACAAATACATGTCCTGCACAGGTTCCCAAATGGCTCACCGACAAAGCCAATTGGGAAAAGTTTCAAAAAATGACTTTATTATCTTGGACTGACATGGCGACATTGAGCATAGAGGATGCTGTATGCTACTTCACAGCTTTCTTGGTTGATGCAGCAACAAAATGTATTCCCCAAACATGTGGACCGTCAAGCAAACGACGAGTACCATGGTGGAATAATGAGTGCCGTGATGCTCGAAAAAAACAAAATAAGGCATGGAGGTTGCTTAGATACTCGCCCACAGCCGAGAATCTTGTAAACTTTAAAAACGTTAAGTCGCAAGCAAGGAGGACGCGCCGACAGGCGAAAAGAGAAAGTTGGCACAAATTTGTGTCAGGAATTAGCTCATACACAGATGAGTCGAGAGTCTGGAGTATGGTTGGTAAGGTGGCAGGACGAGGAGCACATTCTCTTCCTCTAGTGAACACCCAAGGCGAGAGTTTGGAAGACCAGGCAAACACTCTCGGAGCACACTTCGAACAGGTCTCCAGCTCAACACACTATAGTGAAGCGTTCCGACGATACAAAACCGCAATAGAAAAACAGAGATTAGAGCGCAAGCCCAGAACACATGAGGCATACAACGAACCTTTCTGTTTGGCTGAACTGCAGGCCTCATTTGCCTGCTGCAATAAATCTGCCCCAGGCCCGGACCGTGTGGCATATGAAATGTTGAAACACCTGCCCACTGAAACCCAGAAAGCTCTCCTCTCTCTCTATAATGCGATATGGTCTTCTGGCGAGCTACCCTCAGCCTGGAAGGAAGCTATCATTATCCCAATTCTAAAACAAGGCAAGGACCCGGCCTCAGTTTCCAGCTACAGGCCAATAGCATTAACCAGCTGTATTTGCAAAGTCTTTGAAAAAATGATTAACAGGCGCCTGATGCACTTCCTTGAAATTAATGGCCTACTTGACCCATACCAGTGTGGATTTCGAGAGGCTCGGTCCACCACTGACCACCTTGTCCGTATCGAAGCACAAATTCGCGATGCTTTTGTTCATAAGCAATTTTTTCTGTCTGTGTTCCTCGATATGGAAAAGGCATATGACACTGCATGGCGCTTCGGCATATTGCGAGACCTGTCACATTTAGGTGTGCGGGGTAGAATGCTGACAGTTATCGAAAGCTACCTGTCCAATCGTACATTCCGTGTCCAAGTTGGCACCGTCTTCTCTCGAGTATTTGTCCAAGAAACAGGAGTGCCACAAGGAGGTGTATTGAGCTGCACACTTTTCATAGTTAAAATGAATTCCTTGCACCTGTCTCTCCCACGAAATATTTTTTACTGCATATATGTCGATGATGTGCAGATTGGTTACAAATCGTGCAACATCTCAATGTGCCAACGCCAAGTTCAACTAGGGTTGAACAAGGTATCTCAATGGGCAAACGAGAATGGTTTTATACTCAACGCGCAAAAGAGCACTTGTGTCTTGTTCAGCCGAAAGAGGGGCCTCCATCCTGACCCAGACATTGACCTGCATGGTCAACCTCTGTCAGTGAAGACCGAGCACAAGTTTCTCGGTCTCATATTAGACACTAAGCTAACCTTCATCCCACACATCAAGTATTTAAGGGACAGGTGCTTAAAAACAATGAACATTTTGAAAGTGTTGTCACGCACTACATGGGGTAGCGACAGGAAATGTTTAATTAACTTATATAAAAGCCTCGTACGCACACGCCTAGATTACGGTGCTATAATTTATCAGTCGGCAACACCATCAGCCTTGAAAATTCTCGACCCTGTCCACCATCTAGGCATTCGCCTCTCTACGGGTGCTTTCCGCACCAGCCCTGTGGAGAGCCTGTACGTGGATTCGAATGAATGGTCGCTCCACCTACAAAGATGTTCCTTGTCCTTTCTGTACTTTTTGAAGGTGAAGGCAGACAGGAAACACCCTTCCCATTTCATAATTAATGATTTGTCTTGTTCTGGCTTGTTCGAGAACCGTCCTTCGTTTAGGCAGCCCTACGCGCTGCGTGTAAGGAGCCTGGCCGAAGAAACAGGTGTGCCTCTTCTTGAACCCAGTTTGATGGCTCCTGCAACATATCTGCCACCGTGGCAGTGGCAGCTTATAGACTGTGATATCTCTTTTGTTGATGTCACAAAGCACGCACCACTAGCACACATACATACATTTTTCCTAGAACTACAACATAAATACACATGCCCCGAGTTCTTTACCGATGCGTCAAAGTGAAACACTTCTGTGTCATATGCAGCGGTAGGCCAATCCTTTTCCGAGGCTGGCGTTCTTCATCCTAATGCAAGCATTTTCACAGGAGAAGCTTACGCAATACTGGCGGTCGTAAAACACATTAAACAGATAAAATTACAAAAGGCGGTAATATACACAGATTCCCTAAGCGTGGTCAAAGCCCTGAAAACTCCTAAAAAACACAAGAACCCCGTGCTGGTGTCACTCTACTCACTTCTGTGCACACTTTACACATCAAAACAGCATGTCGTTGTCTGCTGGGTTCCAGGGCACCGTGAAATACAAGGAAACGTTTTGGCCGACAATCTGGCTGCTTGCGCCAATGTCACTACTGCCAATGCATCAACACCAGTCCCTGCACTTGACTTAAAACCTTTCATAAAACGAAAGCTCAGGGAGTATTGGCAGAGGATGTGGGATAAACACACAGATAATAAACTACATGCCATTAAGCCGCAACTAGGTTATTGGCCGCCACTATCAAAATCACGACACACAGAAGTAATACTAACAAGGCTTAGAACAGGACACACACATTCCACACACTCATTTCTTCTGTCCACCGGTGATCCACCATATTGTGAGAGATGTGGAGACCCCCTTACGGTTCTCCACATTCTCGTCCAGTGCAATGAGCTAGATGCTCTAAGAAAAAAGCACTTTTTACTGCCCTACCGACAGCAGCTCCCTCTACACCCTGGGATGCTCGAAAAGTAAGAGAGGTTCTATGCCGCACGGAACTTTTTAAGAAATCTTTCTTTCCAAAAACAATCCACGACTGGAATAGGTTACCTGCTGACATCGTCAACGTAGTTTCGAATGAGATGTTTTTTGCCCTGCTGAAATGATTGTTTCTTTGATCTTTTTAGGACGTACTGTATGTATTACTGTTCTTATCTTTTGTTCTTCTTTCTTTTGTCCTCACACTGTATGCAGAAGGGAACTGTGGCTATACTCCGGTATCAAATCACTTATTTTTCCTGTTGAAGTGACTCAACCTTGTAGTGTTCTTGTTTCTCACATATACTGCATACTGCTGTGAATAACTTATGTTGTCGATCTGCTGTAGCTGTTGTTGTTGCTATTACCGTTTTCCACGCTTTATATATGACAAAATATTGAACTGTCCAGACTGACTGTAAACCCCTCCCCCACTGTAATGCCTCTGGCGCTGTGGGTACTAAATAAATAAATAAATAAATAAATGAAGCATGTGTAACAAATTTCATTTTTGGTCACCTTAATTTTCTCTCAAAATTTTTTTGGCGCTTTTTTAAAAATAAATTCAACTGAAGATTTTTATTCAGCAATAAATGAAGTAAACATTTTTATGAAGCATATCGTGAAAGAAAATCGACGAGCAAAGGGTTAACTGAATTTTTATACTTGGTATCTGTTGCTGTGTCTGTTATACCTTTACGTACAAGATAGGAAGCCACTACGGATTCCCGGTTTTTGTGTTTACATATGTACAATGCAGCTTAAAATTCAAATAATGCTGAAGCTATGATAAAAGTGCAGTTGATCAACTGAGACATTTGACTGATGTCAATGAATTCAGTCTTTTTCAGGCACTACGCAAAGGCCCGAGGGCTCTCTGTGGAGGAGACAAACAAAAGCTCTAAAAACATTCGAATGTGACTGTCCCAGAAAATGTGTGAGCTGCGGCGCAAGCGGCCTGTTGCTAAGTAATGCTGAAATTATTTAAATAAAGTCGGGAGTTTTTTCATATTATATTGTTATGTTACATGTTTCTGTGCAGCTTTCACTGCTTTTTCTGAGCAGCTTGCATGAATGCTGAAATAGGTTACACAAAACAGTAATATCTGTGACTGTGGTACCTTCGTGCTGATTAATAAATGCTCCACAACGGGCACACTAAAAACGCTAAACCGTGCACACTAAAAACGCTAAACCGTGCACACTAAAAATGCTAAACTGTGCACACTAAAAATGCTAAACTGTGCACACTAAAAATGCTAAACCGTGCACACTAAAAATACTAAATCGTGCACACTAAAACCGCTAAACCGTGCACACTAAACCGGTATCTACTAGACCGGACACACCAAAAACACCAAAACCGTGTCTGAATTCACGCTCTATTGTATACAACCAACACGGGCTGGTGTATTTTTCAACTGGGTAGCAATGAATTTCGGCTGACCATGGTGGCACAAGCGACAAGTAAGCTTTGGTCACCTTTTTTTGCATTTCGTGGCCGTATCACAACATGGCACACATAAATATATTTTATCTGATTCTTAGACAATTGGAAGTTTATCGACGGTTGCACAATAATGAACGGAATAGTTACTGGAGCTTATCAGGTTTTGGCAAAAACGATGACCCCAAGCCATGCTCCCGCAGGGCGCCTGCGCAAGTAGGCGTTTGATGTGTAGCGACACCACGGACCCGAGCTAACGAGGGAGTTTCTACTCCCTCCCATGCCTAGCCGTGCGTGGCTTTGCCGTGTCCGGGGAAAAGGGGATCCTGGGGGTTGAGCCGACGCTGGGTGAATGGACCTTTAAGGCCCCCCCCCCCGGCAGAGGCAACACACCCCTTTGGCTCTGGCTTCACGTAGACGGCACCCCTGGGCTGACCCATCTAGGGGAAATCGGCAGTCGCCTTTTCCTGTCTCTCTCCGCCCACATCTTCGTCTTTTTCTCACACTTTTATCTTTCCTGTCCTCTCCTCACTTCTGTTGACTTCCGATATTCATGGCAGCAAGGGTTAACCTTGTGTAGGTATCCCACCTTGGATAATTATATTGGGTTATAGTGACAGCGTACGGCTGGCGTTGGGAGGGCTTGTTTCAACAAGTCCAACCGCGTCCCCTTGTTGGGCTCCGTGGTGGGTGGTCGCCGCTGTTACCGAACACATTCATACTTGTATGGCTTTATAAGCATCCGCCGACCTTGATCGTCCTCGTAAGAGAGGCCGCACCGAAGCAAGTTAACACGTCTCGACAGAAACTAAAGTTACTTTCGCGAAGTACCACATTATCCACAGTGACAGCACACCTCTAAGAAAATTATTCCCATTTTTGGTGGCCAAGTGCCTGAAAGAAAAAATAGGACCCACATACAAAGCATCCAAAATGTCAAGCGGTGACCTCCTTTTGGAGCTAACCGAAAAAGACCAAGTGCCTAAGCTATCCCAACTAACCAGCATTGGAGAAACAGCTGTCATCATTTCAGTCCATCGCTCACTAAACACCAGCAGAGGAGTAATCTCTGAGGAAGACTTCTTGGGCCTTAGTGACGAAGAGATCCTCGAAGGTTTCCAAGACCAAAACGTCATCAAAGTCCAAAGAATTGTTATCCGTCGCAATAATCGGGAAGGGCCCACCAAACACGTAATACTAACCTTTGGAACATGTGAAATGCTCACCTCTCTTCAGGCTGGGTACTTAAAAATAAACGTCAGACCTTACATTTCCAACCCCAGACGCTGTTTCAAATGTCAAAGGTTCGGACACGCCTCGCACTCTTGCAGAGGCAAAGAAACATGCGCAAAATGCAGCGCAAATGACCACAAATCAGAAAACTGTTCATCCTCACCCCACTGTGTTAACTGTGACGGGGAACACCCAGCGTATACCCGGTCATGCTCATGTTAGAAAAAAGAAAAAGCAGTGATCGCTCTGACCGTCAAAAAAAAAATATCATACAGTGAAGCGCGAACACTGCTATCATACCTTGTCCACAGAAGTTACGCTGATGTGACGCAGTCGGGGGCAGCGTCACAAAGGCCTCAGGAGTCGACCGCTACCACACCCAGTGGTCCTGTGGTGACTCAAACCGCCCCCGTAAAAGAAGCAGCACCAGCTGCTCCATGCACATCAAAGGGCCCGCAGACTCCGGTCTTCCTGGGCCCTTAACTCAATAGAGTGCCGAGGCCTGAGATCCGTTTCTCAGCGCCTCACTCTTGATCTGCCAGCGCCTCAGACAAGGCAATGGAGATCGACCACAAAACTCAGGTGTCATTGACACTGAAGGACAAGCGCTCTCTCGAGCGTACCAAACAGGACAAGGACAAAGTCCCAGTAACCACAATAAGTAAGCGATAACCGTAATTGTTATCGTATTTCTCCCTATTTCTATTTCTTAGTATTGTCACCTATCATCTTTTATACCGATAAATCCCCAGAAGTATATTTACTCAACTTTATTTTGCCATGGTTTTTATCGAACATTGGAACTGTAGGGGCTCAATTCATAACTTAGGTGACATAAAGGACATCATTAACAAATTCTTACCAGTAGCCTTTTGCCTCCAAGAGACAAATCTTGGTGCAAAACACAGCCATTTCCTAAAAGGGTCAAAGTTGCCCGAAAGGACCGCGAACATTGCAACCGTCTTTCAGGAGGAGTAGCCATAGTGGTGCAGGGCAGCACTCCTACGCGAGATGTCCAAATAAACACATCTTTCGAGGCCGTAGCCGTCACCATCCTATCATACAAAACCATCACCATCTGCTCACTGTATATCCCACCTAACACCTTTTTCACCACCAAAAACCTAGAAAATCTAGTGGAACAATTGCCAAAACCATTTATCTTAGTTGGGGATTTCAATGCTCATTCAATCCTTTTGGGTAGCGGCAAAACTGACGCAAGAGGGCAAGCCGTGGAAGATTTCATTTTATCAAATGACATCTGCCTTCTTAATTCCGGGGCATTTACCTACTTTTCACCAACCTCACACACTTTTAGTTGCTTAGATCTCGCCATGTGTTCATCGTGTATATTGAATGATTTTAAATGGGACGTCGTCAACACGTCTTATGGTAGTGATCATCAACCCGGCATCATAAAACTCATACCATCTTACCCAACTTTAACAAGCAGGCCACGCCGGTGCACGTTAAAGAACCCCAGGTGGTCGAAATTTCCGGAGCCCTCCACTACGGCATCTCTCATAATCATATAGTGGTTTTGGGACGTTAAACCACACATATCAATCAATCAATCAGGCCACGCCAATGGAAACTACAGCTCGCGAACAGGCCAGTTTTCACAGAAAACGCTAAGCTTGATGAAGTTTTCTCATCGGAGCTTTCTGTTGAGGAACTAAACGAAGAGTTCGTCAAAGCTTTAATCTTAGCAGCAGAAAAAGCCATAGCGCAATCATCCGGCATCGTACGCAAGAAACTCAATCCTTAGTGGACAAACGAGTGTACTGATGCCAAAAAACAACAAAATAAGGCCTGGGGAATTCTACGAAGATACCCCACCTACACTAACCTCATCAACTTCAAACAGGCAAAAACTAGAGCCCGATTCATTCGAAGACAGGCAGAAAAGGATTCATGGCAAAAATACATATCATCAATTAACAGTTCAGTCATATCTAAACACATCTAGGACCAGGTGAGGAAGTTCAAGGGAGAGCACTCCTCCTACACAATACCACTGCTTACATTTTCAGACACACAATCAACACTAGAAGACCAGGCCAACCTATTAGGAGAACACTTTTATAAGGTATCATGCTCAGCAAATTACACCAATACATTCCTGAAATACAAAGAAAATGCAGAAAGACAAAGATTGCCTACTAGCAGTACCTCAAATAAAAGTTATAACCTTCTGCTTACGCTGCACCAATTAAACAGGGTACTTTCTGCTGGGAAAAAAAGGGCAACAGGGTCTGACCAGATACACTACGCAGTGTTGGCACACCTATCCCAAGCATCCGCGAAGGCACTTCTTCAATTCTTCAACAAAATATGGGACTCTGATAATGCCTGAAGATTGGAAAAAAGCCGTAGTCATACCATTCCTAAAACCTGGTAAACCCCCAACAACCTCAAGTAGCTACAGGCCCATTGCATTAACAAGTTGCCTTGCAAAAACCTACGAAAGCATCATAAATATTAGACTTACCTTCACTCTGGAATCGGAGCACCTAACAGACGCACACCAGTGCGGATACAAAAGGGGCTGTTCCACCACTGATCACATTGTTAGGCTGGAACAAGAAATACGACAAGCATTTCTACACAAACAGTTCTGTCTCTGTCTTCTTTGACTTGGAGAAAGCATATGACACAACTTGGAGGTACGGAATTCTCAGAGATCTAGCTAACTTAGGGATTCGCGGAAGAATGCTGAACTGCTTACAGGATTTTTTTATCGAATAGAACTTTTCAAGTACGTTTGGGTACAGTACTATCACGAAAATTTGTCCAAGTAAATGGTGTACCACAGGGCTGCGTTTTGAGCACCACCCTGTTTATAGTGAAAATGAACTCCATCAACAGGGCTATACCCCGTACAGTCATGCACTCCATCTATGTTGGCGATCTCCAAATTGCATGCCGAGCCTCCAGCCTATCATCCTGCAAAAGGCAACTCCAAATTACAATAAATCGGCTTATGGAATGGGCCGACCAAAATGGTTTCCGCTGTTCAGCCCAAAAAACCACAGCTGTTCTCTTTACGCAAAAAAGAGAATTGTTCCCTGAACCCGCGCTCAAACTATACAACATCAACATGCCGGTAAAACAAGAACACAAATTTCTAGGAATCACATTCGACCGAAAACTAAACTTTCTGCCACACATAAACGCACTGAAAACTAAGGCAAACAGAGCACTCAACGTGCTCAAAGTACTCTCTCATAAACACTGGGGTTCCGATCGACTCTGCCTTATACGTATTTACCGATCTCTTGTACACAGCATTTTAGACTACGGATGCGTAGTCTACGACTCGGCGCGAAACTCGTACATCCGCCGCCTTGACCCTATACACAACCTCGGTCTCCGTCTGTCAAGTGGTGCTTACAGAACATCACCTGTGCAAAGTCTATACGTAGAATGCAATGAGCCCCCTCTATGTGATCGAAGAGCATTACTAACCTTGTCATATGTTTTAGGAATAAGGTCATCACCTGAACACATCTGCTACGAAATCACCACAAAATGTGACTAACGCTCACACTACCTCAACAAACCGAACCTAATCAAACCACTTGTCCTACGTTTCGAGGAATACTGCCGCTTTTATACCATCCCTGATGGATCACTAGATGTCGCTATTAAACCACCAAGACTGCCGCCATGGTTCGACCTGTCGCAGCTATGCGAATTTTCACTAAGCCCTTTTTAACAAAAAAAGCACCCCACCAGAACACATAATCCAAGAATTTTATACACTTCAGCACGAATATAGGGATTACGAAGAATTTTACACAGATGGCTCAAAAACGGAGGACCACGTGGGTATTGGGATTGCGACGACGAAAAGTGCAATTTCTGTGAAAGTACCTCGTAGTTTTTTCATTTTTTCAGCTGAAGCTTATGCCTTGAGTGAAGCAGTCCGGAAAATCATCGCTGAAAAATACAAGAAAGCAATCATATACACCGACTCGCTAAGCACACTGAAAGCACTACATATAAAATCCGAATGTGAGCCAATAGTGGGCGACATTTTAAACATGGTATACTTAAACAGCCAGGCAGCCTGCATCCGTTTCTGCTGGGTCCCAAGTCATGTTGGGATACCCGGAAACGAAAAAGCGGATAAGTATGCTTCTCAGGCAGCCCATAAAGCAGTAACAAAAGTGAAAATTCCCCTTAAAGATATCCAGAGAACAATTCACCTGGCTCTACCAGCAAAATGGCAAAAGAAATGGGACACCTGCACGAACAATAAGCTCCACCTGGTGAAACCCACACTCGGGGATTGGAAGACCTGCCGTCACTAGCAACGGTTTATTGAAGTTGTATTATGCCGACTTCGCATTGGACACACACACTTGACGCACAACTTCTTACTCACAAAGGAAGAACAACCAACATAGGAAAAATGCCAAGAAGCATTAACACTTATGCACATCCTAATCACATGTCCTACCATTGAAGCACAGAGACAAAAACATTTCAGCAAGCTATACAAACAACACGTACCTTTACACCCTGGTTTGTTCCTAGGAGATGACCCTCTAGTACCTCTGCCTGACTTGCTAAACTTTCTGAAAGAATGTAACCTGCTAAATAAGCTTTAAAATCTCATCTATTTAGTGTCCATTCCTGAAAGTCTTGTGTCTGGCGCAGCATAGCCTTAGCTGCGTTTGCACCATAAAAACCAAATTAACCTAACCAAGCCATGCATAAAATGCCAACGGCATTCCAAAGGCTGCGCCATCTCTCCCCTACTATTGCAGATAACTTTTTTTCTTGAAGTCTACGAGAAGGCATCAAGGGCAAAAAAAACTTATCTGTGACGCATGCTGCGCGTTCGCCGTTTCGGAGGTTTTTTTTTTTTCATATTCTTCCACACGTTACTCGTAGAGGGCGCAGCATGCAGGCCAGGCTCGGTCTCTATCGTCGAATCGAATTCGTTTGGTTGTTGTGTGTTCACGTTTGCTTGTATTCTATTTATATGCTTACAAGTGTAACCATTAGCCATGGATACAGTACACTGCTAGCCCTTAAACTACAATGTTTTTGATGCAGTAATGACTGTCTCAGTGGTGTATATGTACGTTACGTGGGTTGTGCGTGAGAAAAAAGAGTTGACCTCCCACCCGACTGTGTTTTTTCGAGAGTGCTGGCAGTGGCTGTTGGCGTCGCGGCAGCTCGATTACTTGAGTGGAGAAACTAGTGCTTCAATGTGCAAATTTACTACAGTCGACTCTCGTTAATACGAAGTTCACGGGGACCGCGAAAACCTTGAATTAAGCGGAATTCCAATAAACCACAATGAACGAAAAATACATTTATTTCAAAGCAGTTTATGAGAAAAAAAACCTGTGATTGCCGTTTGCTTCTGTTTGCTTAATCTTGCAGCAGAAAGCAAGTTCCGCAGGCTGTATATGTGCCCGAGTGCTTCCTCGGCGTTGCTCTCAGCAGTGGAAAACCGCTGCGTGAGGGCAAGGCTTGCAGCTACAACAGCAGTCCGCGGTAATGGCTCACTTGCGTCGTCGTCGTCAACCTTAGTTTCGTAACTAGGCTCGCTGGGCAGAACCATCTCCACGATCTCAGCGTCCGACAGTGCACCACACGTTTCTACTGAACTGTCAGTGGCAATGTACTCCTCGAAAGGGACGTCGCCGAGAGCTGGCAGGAGACCATCAACGTCAAGCTCACTTGTGTCTTCTTCCCCCACTGTACAAGACACGTCATCATCTGCAGCACTTGGAATGAAGCCGCACACCCTAAAGCAGCTCGCAATGGCTTCATCCTTTACGCGACCCCACGCTCGCGCCAGCATGTGGACAGCACTGAGAGGGCTCACCTCATACTGACTTGCATTGTCCATACACAACAGCATCCGCTCAAAAAGATGCTTCCTGTACAGTACTTTCACGTTTTTGATGATTCCCTGGTCCACTGGTTGTAACACCGATGTAGTGTTCGCTGGCAGGTAGGCGACACGTATTGCCCTCAAGGACGGCACATTCATGTGTGCACAGCATTGGTCCACAAGGAGCAATACATTGCGTTTAGATAACGTGAACTTGCGATCCAATTATGTCAGCCAATCCTTGAATAGGTCTGCGGTCATCCACGCTTTCCTGTTAGACGCGTAGTCGACAGGTAGCGTTTTTACGTCCTTGAAACATCTAGGCTTAGCAGCTTTGCCTATCACGAGCAGGCGACATCGCACAGTGCTCGTCATGTTCGCCACTATCGGCACCGACACTCTTTCTTTGCTATGCTTCCCTCCAGCACAGTCATCGTCCTTAAAGGTCAGCGTCTTCTCTGGCAACATTCTGTAAAAAAGTGCTGTCTCGTCGGCATTGAAGATATCTTTCGGCCGATATACTCCCAAGTATTTGCGAAGCTGATTTTCCCTCCACGTATCGCATGTTTCAGCGTTGACGGCAGCCTCTTCCCCGTTAACGCTTTTTAACACCATATTGTGGCGCTGCTTGAACCGTGTGAGCCACCCATCGGACGAAGCAAAGTTCTTGATGCCTAGCATAATCGCAAGCGATGACGCTTTCGCTGCAACGATATCGCCGCTGAGAGCAAGTCTGTTGCTTTGAGCCTTTCGAATCCTCTAACTCCGGTTGGGCGCCGGTGCGCAATCTCTTGCGAGACATCTTGAACTGGTCATTTTCGAGTGCGTACAGTACCGAGCGCTTGTTCTTCAGGCTGTTAGACAGGGTATTAGGCTTGATGCCGTATTTCTGCGCAATATCTTGCTTGGCGGTGCCTCATTGTTCAACTTCTTTCAAAATTTTGACTTTCGTCGCCAAGTCAAGCGTCTGATAAGGCCCGCGAGTTGCCATAGTAAATGCACGTGGAGCTTCGTCGCACGTGGAAACGCTGAGTTGGCACACGACCGTAACGAGATCAACAATGAGGCCCGGTACAGGAACCGCCGGAGCAGCCGCTTCGTGATCTGGGGCGCTGCATGCAACTGCGATGCCATCAGCTGACGCTTCCTCCTTGTGACGCTTTGAGCTGCGGCGCTGTGGTCAACTGTGATGCCCTTGGGTGCCGGTCGGACACGCATTGTTTTTGAGCACTTCGAAACTGGAAATTTAACAAACATTACGATTTTCTCCGGGAATTCGATTGAAAATAAATTCGAATTAACCAAAATTTTAGACCTCTAGCTTCCAATTACCGGGAATTTCTTCCTGTTGAACTGCATGCAAAACTGACGGGACTCCCACTCCACTTCCAATTAACCGATAATTCCAATTAAGTGACTTCGAATTATCGGGAGTCAACTGTATAACATTATTGCATGCTGTGTCTACATACTTTTTTGCTTCAGATACGTCTCACGATTCGCCCCGCTTGTCAACTTTCGGTCAATGTGCGTGCCACAATTGTGTTGTTAGCGCTGTGGCTGTGGTGGTTACTATTACTCTGGATTTTGCATACTATTTTCACAAAGGTGAGTGAGAGTGTTAGTACTTACCTGCTGTGCACAGCTGTTACTAGAAGTGCTTTTTGTCTTGAGTTTCGCACGACAAAGGAGAATCATGTGGACAAGAGAGGCATACTGCACGCGTGCATAATTCTGTCCTAACTTTCAGTGCCATGGGCAATTCAAAACGCATGCGATAGTGAATTCGGTTTAATTGACAGAAGTCATTGGTTTACTTTTTCAAAAAGTAGTTCTGTTGATGTTCTCGAGACCACTTGCCCGCAGAAAGGGCAACAACGCTCTCAATGCCTTGCGTGCAGAGGATGGTCTCGGCCAGTGTCCTAATACCCTTTCTTCTGACAATTGGCGATTGTCTAGTCTATCTAAAGCATTCGACAGTTTTTTCTTGGCACGCTGAAGCGAGGACACTCGCAGAGAAGATGAGAGAAAGTCTCTGCGCAGCCACAGTTGTCACATGTCGGGCTGCTGGCCATTCCGATTCGAAACGATTAAGCATTCGTAAAGGCCACTCCAGTCCACAGACGGCGCAAAAGTGTCTCCTCAGCTCTGGTTATTCCTGATGGAAGATGGAGCTGTAGGTGTGGGTCCAAATTATGAAGGCGGTCGTTGGTGAATGCCGGCGAATTCCACTGAGCGGGTGTCAGTTCTCGTGCAAGTGATCGAAGCCTTGCAGTGGTGTCGGTTCTTTGTAATGGTATAGCTGCACAAGGGGCATCATCATGACCAGATCGGGCTGCTTCATCTGCGCGGTTGTTTCCATCGATGCTGCAGTGGTCCGGTGTCCATTGATACGCCATGTCATGTTGTTTCTCTATAGCCCGGGGATGAATCTGTCTTATTTCAGCAGCCAGCTGTTCATTTGGTTCATGACCATATGGCGAGGCAATGCCCTGGAGGGCTGCTTTGGAGTCAGAGAAGATTGACCATGTCTGTTGCGGTTCTTCAACTAGGAACTCCAAAGCGGCACGAATGGCAGCGAGTTCTGCTGCCGCGGATGATGGCAGATGCGAGGTCCTGAACTTTATCGTGATGGATTTCTCCGGAATTACCACTGCGCCTGTTGAACTTGTTGAAGTGACCGACCCATCCGTGTAAATGTGAATGCGTCCACTGTGTCCCTCATGCAGAAACAGTAATGTTGTTTGCTTTAGGGCCAAATTTGGCAAATTTTTCTTATTTTGCATTCCCGGGATGGTTGTCAGGGCTTCCAGTGGATGTAGACACCACAATGGTTACAACGGTCTTGCTGCGTGCGTGAAGTTCGTGGGAATCACCGTGCGATGTGGGGCGATAATAGAGCAGAACGCAGAGCGTGGCCTGGAAGTTGGAAGGGAGGCGAGGTGATGCGATTGAATCCGGGTGGCATGTCTTATGTGCGTTTTTAAAGCATCGACACGAATGTAGGTGGTGATAGGGTGTTCATAAGCGATTGCGACAGTTGCTGCTGAGGATGCGCATCTCGGAAGCCCGAGGCATATTCTTAGCGCTTGAGCTTGTAATGACTGGAGGACGCGTACGTTTGTTATGCGGGCCTTGCCACGCAGGGAGGCTGTAGCGCATGAAGCCAAGAAAAAGTGCAGCATGCAGTTGAAGCATGGCTCGTACAGATGCACCCCATGATTTTCCCGCAAGAAACCTTAGGACGTGGGTGATCATGGTCAGTTTCTTCTTTATGTGAGCGATATGAGGGCTCCAAGACAAGTCACGATCTAATATTACTCCCAGGAAACGGTGGGTCTTTTGATAGCTGATCGTGTGTCCATCAATTCTGATGCGGTATGGCGTCATTGTCTTGCACGTAAACGCAACCAGTGAGCATTTCTCAGATGACAGCTCCAGTCCTCGTCCTTGTAGATAGTTTGACGTCAGTGTAGCCGCTGTCTGAAGTCTGGCTCATACGTGTAGACGCGTGACCCCCGATGCCCAGATGCAGATGTCATCCGCGTATATCGACAAATGTACAGAGTGTGGCAGGACGTCAGCGAGGCCGATGAGCGCAAGGTTGAAAAGTATGGGGCTTAGGACCCCACCTTGAAGTACGCCGCGATAAGTATGATGGTGCCTTGTTGCACCATCTTCTGTCTGAACGAAGAAGGTTCTGTTCTTCAAATAGCTGTAGATCCATTTGTAAACGCGGCCTCCCAATCCGATGATGCCCAAGGCGTCCAGGACGGTTTCATGTAGTACATTGTCATATGCAGCCTTAATATCCAAGAAAATTGCCGCTGATAATCTTTTTAGGCTTTTCTGCGGTTGTACAGACCTGACAAGAACAACAACGTTGTCTGTGGAAGACCAACCAAGTCGAAAGCCGGTCAACGCATCGGGGTATATATTGTTATGTTCCAGGTACCACTCCAGGCGAGTCAGCACCATTCTCTCCATCATCTTTCCAAAACAGCTGGCAAGCGCGATGGGGCAATAGGAGGCCATGTCCAGAGGCGATTTGCCTGGTTTGAGCAGGGGCACAAGGCGGTTGCACTTCTCCTCTAGAGAAAACATATTGTCCATCCAAGTGTCTCTGGACACCAGCGCGTTTCGTAGGTTACTCATGTTGATCCCGGACCCCTTGTTTGCAACCCTGGCACAGAAGTCTTCTGCTACATCGATTTCACGTCGGCTTTGGTGGAGAGCAAGGCATTGGAACGGGCGATGCTGTTGTAGCAATGTTCGTAGGCCGCGGATTATTCTCCATATTTGCGAAAAAGATTTGTGGGGATCGAGCGACTCGCATAGTGACTTCCATCGTAGCGACTGTAGTGCATTGATTCGACGTTGAATCTTCTTTTGTAGACGTCTCGCCTCCCTCAAGTCGTAGATGGATTTCGTGCGCCTATAACCTTGTTCGGCGCGACGACGGATTGCTCGAAGTCGCTCCAACTCCACCTCATATTTGCAAAAGTCTGGCAAAGGTCCACAATTAAACGTTGCCTCTTGGATAGCGGCCTTCATTATACCTTCTAGGCTTTCAAGAGAACCTTCTTGGTTTCTCTCGCATTGCTTCCCTGTGGATGATCTGTACTTTGACCAGTCCATCCGTGAAGCAGGCGCGATTTGCAACTTGCTTAGCCCCTTGATCTTTATATAGGTGGAGATGTGGAAATGATGTTTAAAACATTTTATTATAACTCAGTCTGGCAAAAATAAACGCTCGGTGAAACTTTGCAGCCCGTTTCCCGTTGTGCTTTCACCTGCAGTGGTAGCATAGCCTCATTGGGTGTCAAGTGACTATGCTGGAGGACGCAGGTTCGACTCCCGGCCACGGTGGTTGTATTTGGATGGGGGAAAAATGCAAAGAACATCCATGCGCCTATGCTTGGATTCACGGGAAAATACTTCAGTGGGTTGAAATTCATCCGCAGACCCCAACGGCTGCGGGCGTGATGATTAATGGCGGTAGCGGTATGTATAACTCCAGCAATTCTATATGATCGTGCTTTCACGCATAGACTGTTCAGTGGTATCAGGTTTCCTAGAATGTTGGAAAATGAACTGTGATGCGTTTTTGTGCGCCTCGTTGAATTGATGAGTGCTATTGGTGCAGTGCGAAACTAAAA